AAAAAAAAAAGAATTTCAGGATTAAAAAGAAAGGTTTAGATTATTGGGATAATTAACATCCTTGGGTTTGGAAGGGGCCTCAAGAGTTAACTACCCCACTCCAAACATCCATCCGATCTTTGTCTATCCTCTATGGCCTCCTTCCCAAGTGGGCTCTGTCCTTAAGTGGACAATCCTCGTGACAAGGAGTTCCATGCATCCTGGGGAAACCTATTCCAATTTTGACAGTACGGGTTAAAAGGAAATTCTTGATAGCCAAATTTTCTGTTTTCCCTGAGCGTTCCACTCATTTGTCCTAGCTCCACCCCCCCTGGGCCACACCAAGCAAGTAAAATGGCTCTTCCACAAGAAGGCCGTTCAGGTACTCGACAGCAGTGATCATGCCCCTGTGCACTCTGCCGGTAGTCTCAGTTCTGTCACCTCTCCCTTGACTACGACTTAGTCCTGAGTCTCTTCATCATTCAGGCCAAACGTTTCTGAATTTGTTCGAGCTTGCTGATGTCCTTTCCTACAGTGCTATAACTGACTGGCCACCCTGAGTGCGGTGTAACCAACTGGAGCAGCAGGAAGCAGGCCTAGCACCTCTGTTACAATACTGGATTACCTGCTTCTCAGACTCACATGAGACACAATTCCAAGACAGAACTTCCAAAATGTGTTAAGTGATGCAATTAAGAGAAGATAAAGGTAGAGCTGCTCAAAGACTTCTTTGAAGAATAACACTCCTTTGCATACAAGGTCTATTATTTCTTGGTCTATGTTGGGTTTTTTTGTTTTTTTTTTAGTCTATTCTTTTGCAATCATTTTGACCTGGAGTACAAGAATTCCAAGTTAGCAGGAGACTTGGATGTTGCCCTGGAGGAGCTCACAGTCCAGTTTCTGTTCTCTGAACATTTAAAGATAAAACGATTCCCCCTTGAAATGTGCTCAGCATATTTTCTGTGAGGAAGTCAAACTCTCCAGTAACAACCAAAAAGTTCTATACCTCTGGCAAATCATTATGCCAATTATTTTTCAATTTAAATACTGCTGGAGAGATAAAACAATGTGTTAAAACTGCATATCTGTTGATCATACACTGCTCACTGACCCTTTAGACTTTGCCTCAAAAAAGGGGCTGTCACTCTGCTGTGGGAGACTGCATTTGGCTACTGTTATGTCCTTTTAATGTCTTTTAAACTGTAACAGCACCCCTAACTATTTGTTTCACTACACCGGCTTTTTTGGAAGTGTGGTCCAATTGTCTCGCAGAATGTCTCACATTCAGTTTCCCCATGATTAAATGTAGTTTAAATGTTTTCCAGTAAGAATACTTCCCAAGTGAGATTCCATCACATCGGGAGGCACATAATGTCACTAGTGGTGATTCTAAGTTTGAACATTTGGTAAGATGGTGACCTCCAGATGACTTCATTGTAATGGTACATTTTTGCCTTGTAATCTGTGGGATGATACTTTGAGACCATGTAAAGAGCCAGTTCCCCCACAACCTTCCGTTCAACCAATTCCCTGAAACCATGATTACCCTGGGAGTGACAAAATAATGATTTTTCAAATTCTATTATGTATTTCTCATTTAATAGCTGGCATTCTTAGAATTCCACCTCCACCCCCCACCTATTTTTTAATTATCACTATTGAGTCATGGAACACTGACCTTTTTAGAATATGTGCAATTCAGTTAAGTATCATCTGTATTAAATATGTGTATATATCTCATACAGATATGAAAAAATATATAAAACACACTTACATATATGAAAAAATATGTATATACATAATATAACCACAAACAAACACCTGTGTGATCACAGACTATATCAAGAAGGATACGCAAGAAAACAGTGGTTGGGGCACTTGGGTGGCTGTCAGTTATTCGGCTCAGGTCATGATCTCAGCGTTCTGGGATTGAGTCCCACATCGGGTGCTCTGCTGAGCAGGGAGCCTGCTTCTCACTCTCCCCCACCCCTACTCATGCTCTACCTCTCTCTCTCTCAAATAAATAAATAAAATCTTAAAATATATATATTTAAAAAAATAAAAGAAAACAGTGGTTGCCTCAGGTGGGGGACACTGCAGGACAAGGATGGGAGGGAGACTTATTCCTCACTATTTTTTTCTTTTTATACACTTTAACTATTGTATCATTATTTATTGTGTAGGCAATATGTTAATTAGTAATATAAACTAAACAATTATCTCAATAAGTATATAATAGAAACATATTTCAAAACTCCAATTATTCCAATAAAATTTCAATTCAACACAAGAAATCTGGACAGTCCTACTGACAACGAGATTATGGGATAAGTCTTTTTTTTTTTTTTTTTTAAGATTTTATTTATTTATGTGAGAGAGAGAGAATGAGAGATAGCACGAGAGGGAAGAGGGTCAGAGGGAGAAGCAGACTCCCTGCTGAGCAGGGAGCCCGATGTGGGACTCAATCCCGGGACTCCAGGATCATGACCTGAGCCGAAGGCAGTCGCTTAACCAACTGAGCCACCCAGGCGCCCTGGGATAAGTCTTATGTCAGCAGAAAAGATGGCCTAAGAAGGAGCAATCTCCTCCTCCGCAAAGAACAAATAGCTGGTAAGAATTGTGAGTCAATGCTTCGTTGGTTAAGATCAGAGTTACCTTTGCAGAACTGAAGAGAGGAGAAAAGAAAGGCGTTCAACATGGCTATGTATGTAATTACCAAACACTCCCCATTCCAGGTCCCGACGGGACTGTCAGATCAGGGGATCGCTAATGCTGATGAGGACAGGGAGCTTTACAAGTGGAAGGGCCAACCTAGGCAGGATAGGCTCCTTCTTCCTATTCTCTGAGTTTTTAGGCCTTTTGCGTAAGATCATGATAGGGCAGCTGCCTCTGAAAGTAAGCCCCGCTTTTCAAAATATAGTTGTTAGGTCTAAAATGTACATTTACCTTCCGAATGCTTTCGTCCACAAGTCCACCAAGGATGTAAACTTTGTTTAGATCAATATCTTCAAGAGCTAATGAAAAAATGAAGGCCATTGAGATCAAATCAGTTTTATAATTTCTAAATCCAAAGAAAGTAAAAGGAAAGAATTATTAATGATAAAAGTAGAAATTTAATGAAATAGAAAACCAAAAGGTAACAGATTTGCTCATTCTCTGAAAAGACAAAGCTCTGGCATATCTAATCAAGAAAAAAAGGGAGTCAATTCAAATCAACATTAGGATTCAGAAAGGAGATGAAATTAAAATAACAGAGGAATGTGAAATAATTAGAAAAGAATACTAAGATCAACTTGATACCAACAAATTTGAAAATTATGTGAAATAATTAATTTTCTGGAAAATATAGGTATCTAACAGTGATCCAACAGGCCGAGGAAGGGAGCTGACTGGGGAAACTGGGAAAGATTGCAGGGAGCTCACAAGGCCCGGCTGAGGCTGTAGACCCTAGATCTGTACCGCTGTGCGCACACAGCAGCATATATGGAAAGCAGAGTGATGTATCCACCCATAAGAGGTGTGCTATTAGTGGTCATTCCTTTTTTTGTTTTTTTTTTTTTGATACACCTTGGGTGGCTTTAACAAGTTCTGACACAGGGAATAATCAAACACAGGGCTAAGAACAAAGTGCTACATGAATCCATGCAGTAAAGTACATACCGTGTTCTGAGTCAGGAGTCAGGTACACAAGGGTTTCCAGAGGAAATAAACTAAAGCAGTCTTCCTCTGTTATGTCTAGCTGAAAAATGTAAATAATCCAATGTAGTGTAAACTAGGTTACGACACTACCCACACTGCAGCCACTAGTTACCAGGCATCTATTCTCTACTAGGCATGGCCCTATGTGCATCAAGGGGATACATGTCTGACAATCTGTTCTCAGAAAGTGCTCAGCTGGGGAGGGCAAGTAGAAAGGACAGACATTCAACCCTACAAAATGAGACAGAGAGTAACAAGAGACCCTAACAGATGTACAGGAAGGCTGCCCCAGGACGACAGATGAGGAAGTGACAATACCAGGGACGGCCTTCTACTGAAGGGAATGCTGGAACTCAGTTTCTGAAAAGAGGTGAGATTGACTGACACATACAAAAGGAAGAAGCACTGAAAATGGGGAGAATCACCAAAGAAAGGCATGAAGACAGGAAAGCAAGGGAACTTCGTAGCCCCAAGAGTGGGTCTGTCGGGCTCACGTACAAGAATCATAAAACACCCATAGAGAAGAAAAGCTGGAAATGGTTGTATTATAGGACAGACTGTTAAGATGGTAACAGCTACCACAAGTAATTGTGCAGGACCACACAGGGTACCTCTCATGCTCACTGCCTCTGTGGACCTCCCTAGGAAAGTTCACACCACCCAGGTCCAGCTACATCACACAAACACACAAGACATTTTTAGTGGCACTTTTTAGGAAGTGATCTGGACTGTTGCCTCTATTATAATCACTACATTCATGAGCCCTTAGGGAAAGAGATAAAAAATAACTGAGGATTCCCTAAAACTCATCTTGAATCCACATTACTTCCATAAGGATTTTCTCTTCCCCCACAACTCATGTTCCCTAATCCTGCACTACTGTGAAGAAAAAAGGAGTTATGGCATTTCCCCAAAACATTACTGGAATATACAGTCTAGCATACAATATAAAAGGTACAAAATACAGTCCTAGAGACTGGTAATATTAGTTTGCCAATGCGGTAGAAGGATAGAAATTTAGAAATATAAGAACTGAGAGAGGTTCTAAAGTTTTTTAGATTGCAATAGTGAAAATAATTCACATATTTTTATATCAAAATATGAAAAAGTTAAAAAAATTTAGTATGACCACACAACCGACTTTTCAAAGGACACTTCAAATAATATGCACAATAAGGCTTACCAGGTAACTAGAAAATCCATCATTCATCCTCAAACACTCTTCGTACAGGGGACTGTCTGTTGTGAATCCAGTGAGGTAGATCCAAAATGGCCTGCTGGCTTTTTTATTTGAACCATACAACCTTCGGATCTGTCCAGCCAGTCTACTTAATTCCTTCAAAGAAATTAGGACAGCTTAGATTGGAAACATGCCCACTCTTTCTAAATTCATTATCAAACAAATGGTTACTCAGTAAGTTCACTGAATGCTACTCTGGGAAATCTCATGAACTAGAATGGCCCCTTTTATTCCAGGAGCTAGTACGTGTTATGTGTGTGCATGTGTGTTATACCCCATGGCGCACACCTTACAGATCAAAGTTAAGGTAATGATACAAGCCTGGAAATAGTGAGTTAATGGAAAGACTGAGCACTCTCCCTCCTTCTGGATCTGCTGTTATATATCTCATAAGGTATATGGAATTGTTCTTTTAGTTCATATCTAAAATCTTACCATGTGATATTTACTATTCACTTTAAAAAAGTTAGATTACTATACAGACTTTTTTTTTTATACTCATCAAATAAACTTAGCACCTTCTCCCTAACTCTAGAGATGGACTAGGGTCGGAAGTTTTAATTTTCCATCCTGATTCAGAGACAAACCCCTAAAGAAAGGTAGTTTCACAATCTGGCCTGATTTGGTTCAGGAGAGAAAAAACACTTTGGGTTTGATTTAATCTGATATCTCAATATAAACAGTAGAAAATTCTTAGTTGACCTTTTCAGAGGGCTATACTTAGAGGTTCCATGTAAGAACCCCAGATCTTCAGTCTTCCTAATCTCTCTGAAAAACATGCAAACAGCAGCACATATAACAGAGATGTTGGCAAACAGAAAAATCCATTTTGTGGTGTAAGGCCTAAAATGAAGGTCTACTACTGTGTGTTGCCTAGACATCTGGTGAAACCAGGTGGGCCCTGAAAAACCCAACTGCAATTCTCCCAATTCTGCTCCCTTGTATAAGGTCCCCTAGCTAAACAATCCTTTCTATAAAAGGAACCAAGTATAGTTCCTGCTTATCCCTAAGTAGTGGGTTTTGATTCCCCGCTACCCCAAAGAGTTATTCCCAGCAAATCAATCACATCTTCCTGCAGGAACCAAGGGGTACTCCACCCTCGTGACACTACAAAGCCTGCCTCCCACAGCCCCTGGTTGTTCATTCTATTCCCGAGTGTAACACCCCATGGCCCTGCCTAGCATGCAGTGTCATCTTCCCCCTGCGCTGAGTACTAGTGACTAATAAACTGCTATCACTCTTAGCTGTCCAATGTCAAGTGTGTATTCTTCAGCCACCCCTAGAACCCTCCTTCACAATAGGGTGAATGGAAAATGATTAAAACACATATGTTGCAGGAAGCCGTCCCACCAGGTCATCTCCTCCCAACATGCAACCAGGCAAGTAGTCCTCTTCCCAGTAGAAAGCCAGATTTCATCTCTGGAGAGCTGAACATGAAAGGCCCCATCTAGATTGTGGACACCATAAACACAGAGGCAACGGTGTGGGGCTCAAAACAGAAGATAAAATAAAACTTTCCAAACTAAACCAGAGGATATCTATTCTCTTCCTGATTCTTAACAATAGCCATCTTGGAGCTGAATAGCCACGTGTAAAAAAACTAAACTTTTGCTAGTTTACTATGGAATTACAGAGGCCGGAACTGGTTATGCTCTTTGTCAAAGCTGCTCCCTTCTGGGGGTGCCTGGGTGGCTCAGTCGTTAAGCATCTGCCTTCGGCTCAGGTCATGATCCCAGGGTCCTGGGATCAAGCCCCGCATCGGGCTCCCTGCTCCGTGGGAAGCCTGCTTCTCCCTCTCCCACTCCCCCTGCTTGTGTTCCCTCTCTTGCTGTGTCTCTCTCTGTCAAATAAATAAATAAAATCTTTAAAAAAAAAAACAAAAAAAGCTGCTCCCTTCTGGACCTCCCTCATGTGAGCAGGAATTCGGAGCTTAATGGATGTCCTACCTTCTTAGACATGTGGTGGGTCATACTCAGATCAATACAGAGTCTTGGTCCTGAGTGTTTGGCTTCCAAAAGTCTCTCCTTGGTTAAGGATCTCAGAAAACGTTTGCTGTGCTGGGGGCAGATGCCTAGAGTAGAAATATCAGAAAGAAATAAAAGTGGGAAAACAGAGGAATACATTCAGTAAGAAACAAATCTCCCCAGCCAAGTGAGTACTTTTTGCATAAGCTTGAAACTCATATAAGGTATTTATTCATTTGGGGACAGCAGAGTGGTGTGGAGTGTGGGCTCTGGAGCACATTGCTAAGTCTAAATCAGAGTTCAGCCCATTCATTTATTACTATATGATCTCGGGCATGTTATTCAATTTCTAAGCCTCAGTCTCTTTACCTACAAAATGGGGATAAGAAAAGCACCTACCCTTTAGGGTAATGCATGTAAAATTCTTAGCAATGAACCTAGCACATAACACTGAATAAATGTTAGCTGCTAATGTTATCATTCCTTCTACTTCTGAGCTTATAAACACACATGTGCCCTAGATATGTGAAGCCTTAAATTTTGCTTTCACTGATACTTTGATTTCCAACAAAATAGAATAGGTTCTACCTCCAAGATGTTTGTTTTTACTTAAAAACAACATTTCTACTCTCCTAAGAACATGCAGATACCAGTCTGCTAAGACATAAATATGATTATGCCAGCAATCTGATGTATTGTTACCTGAATTTTCTACACGATTGGCCTTTCTTCTTTCTTTTTCTTGCTTTCTTTTGCTCTTCTTTGCTGCAACTATCTTTTCCCAGTGTCTCTGTTTTCTTTGGACATTTTTCTTACGTTATCCAGAAAACAAAATTGAGAACTTCATAAGCACCAAAATGGAAAACGAATATTCGAAAGTTACTTATTTTTTTAAATGAGATTTAAAATTAGGAGAGAAAAAGGATATTAGTGTCAAAAAAAAAAAGACTGGATTATGTTCAGAGAAAGCGGAGCCCCAAGAAAGAGATGTGAGGTGCCCAAAATAAATGTATCAGGGACAGGGCCTACAGCAGAGTTTAGATTTCCTGACCCTTCTGAGGTGTATCAAAAATTCCTCTTGAACTTGATTTACTCTTCTTAGGACTCAAGTGGAACTGAAACCTGTAACCAGTTAGCAGGAAATTCATCCAATTTTGGAACACACCAAACTCATTCCTAGTCTTTTTGTTACTAGGACCTACCCTTATACAAGGGGTCTCTGGGACAAAGCATCATTCCAGAGCCCACGGCCGGGCAACTCTCTGCACTTACCGAGCACCACATTGCACTGCCTGTGGGCAGCGTCTCTCCCTCCCGATGCTCGCATTCCACATCGCATTCCACATCGATCTGTAGAAGCCGGAAGCTTTCAGAGATGCTGTCTTCTCCTGTGTCCTCTAGGATGACCTCTTGCTCCTGTAGCACACGTGAGTCTGTTTTCTGAGCACTCCCTTCCAATTTCCAGTCCATGTGCTTAGTCTTCTGTCCCTTTCACCCAGGTTAGAGAAAGGCACAATGATGTGAGATGTTACATTATTTCCCTTACAGAGCTATTTCCCTATGTCCAAATGTCAAATAGTGTTACTGTGTTGCCAAAGGAGTAAAAGTGTGGAAATATTAACACAGATTTATTGAAAGGAGAAAAGCATCTGTGTCTTCCAGAGAAATGGGTCAACACAGAAACATTTCAGTACTAAGGAAGCTATATCTACTTCTTAGAAGACAAACAACTCCTGACAACTCCAAGCAATCACCAGTTAGTCACTGCTGCAGTGACCCAAGTAATGAGGTCATTTTACTGTGCTCTTCAAAATGCATGCAGTAGTTGAGGGTGGGGCAGAAATGACAAAAGCCACCTCTTCCATTATGTTTCAGTTTATATTCAAAACTATTCCTCTAGCAAACATTTACTGAGCACCTACTATACGCACAGTCCAATACTAGAAGTATCCTAGGAAAATAAGAGCTAGTCAAAAACTATGGTAAGGAGTTACCCAAAATCAACCAAGAATTCTTCTAGGTTGCTGGAGATTTTTCACAATTTGTTTTTCCAGACTACATATTCCCTCTCCCAACTCAGTTAAGTATCACTGCAGCTGAAAGCCACAGCCACCGCCGCGACTATTAATGACTATTAATATCCATCAGAGGTGCTGAAGTAGGAAAATATGGAGAACCACTGCTATGGCACACTTAACCAATGCCGTAGTTTCAAAGCGCTGTTCAAAATCCCTGGGAAGGTTGTGAGTAAAAAATGTTCTAGTCTATAGCTAAGCATCACAGACAGAACAATACGTCCACTGCTTCTGGCAGCTCCTCTGAGTCCAGTGAGCTACCACCGTCTTTGGAAAAGTCTATCTTTGCAAAAGCAAATCTATGTAATACGATCCATGCAGATAAAAAAAAATAAAGACCTATTTATAATGAAAAGTAATGATCCTCACTCCAACCTCTCCCACCTGTAGTGGCAACCTGTTAACCAGGTGTTTTTAGTTCATTTGGTAATTGACTCCTGAACCTGAAATCATATACTTTCATTACTTCTTGAATCATCAACTTGGAATTTTATCAACTCCCTATGAAACACTAAAATTCAAATCACCTCTTATTTTTTATTTTTCTGTTAGTTACACTGACCTTTAAAATGTTTTTGAGGTATAATTTACATATAGTAAAATGCAAAGATTTTAAGGGTATAGCTCAGTAATGTGTGTGAAGGTTAAATATACCAGTTCAATGAATTTTTGACAAAAGCACAGGGCCTTACTCATACCCTCATCAAGATATGGAACATTTCCATCACTCTAGAAAGTTCCTTGCCTTCTGCACTTTCCAAGTCAATCTCCATCCCATTCCCACAACCAGCCAAAAGCAACCGTTGCTTTTTTCTATAACCATAGATTAACCGTGCCTATTATAGAACATCATATATATGGACTCAACCAGTGATGTTGACATTTTCCCCCTCAACATGTTTTGAGATTTATCCATGTTGCTTCATGTATTCGTAAGTTTATTCCTTTTAATTACTGAGCAGAATTCCATTGTTTGACTGTATCACAATTTGTTTATTCTCCTCTTGATGGACATTGGAGATTTTTTCCAATCTGGGACTATTATGAATAAAGCTGCTATGACCATTCTCTTACAAGTGTTTTTGTGGATGTATATTCTCATATCTGTTGGCTAAGTACCTAACAGTAGAGTTGATGGGGCATAGGATAGTTGCCTATTTAACTCATAAAAGACGGCCTTCAGTTTCCCAAGGTAACTGCACCATTTCACAGTGCTGTCAGCAATGAAGGAGACTTCATATGCTCTGCATCATCACCAACATTTGCTGTTGTTAGAGTTCTTAATCTAAGCCATTCTTGTGCAGTGGAACCTAGTTGTGTTTTAATTTGCATTTTTTTGATTGTTAATGATATTGAGCCCTTTTTCTGGCAATTTATTGGTCATTCATAATATATCTTTGTAAGATTTCTGACCAAGTCTTTTGCTCATTTTTAAATTATCTTTTTATTAATGAGCTGTGGAAGTTTAACATATTTCTAGATACACGTCCTTTTTCAGACATGTGTATTGAGAATATTTTCTCCCAGTCTGTGGCCTGCCTATTCATTTTCTTAACACTGCTTTTTTGTTGAGCAGAAATTTTAAATTTTAATCGTCTAATTTATCATTCTTTTCTTTTATAGTTAATGCTTTCTGTAACCTCTAAGAAATCTTTGCCTACCCTAAAAGCACAGATATTCTATGTTCCTTTCTAGAAGCTTTATAATTTTGGCTTTTACCTTTAGGCCTATAATCCACCTTAAATTCATTTCTCTCAAGGATAACAGTATTGTCCTGCCTATTCCATGCCTGAAAACAGTTTCTTCATATAATCTGTCCAATTTTACAGCTTTTTTTATCCTAGGAAGGTAAGTCCAATACCCATACCTCTGTCCTGACAATTATCAGAAGACATCTTTACTATGTTTAAGAATATCTTTAAACTTCTACTTCCTGTTCAACAATTTCAGGGTTAAGCTCTGAACATAAACACCCTTATCTTTCCCTCTATCTCTCTTCTTCCTTCAATGTTCCAATTTTGGTAAGCTGAAGCTTTAATTTTACATGTTCAAGACAGATTCTACATGTGTCATCAAAATTAATCCTTTGGGGCTTTGTCTATCCTCTTGGTTGTTTCTACAATTTGTAGATCAATAAACTGCATTTATGTTAACTATAAATATTACCCACTATAGAGCTGAGTAGTGTCCGAAGGTTATATTTTGTTCTCTAATGTGGTTTTTTGGTATTTATTTTATTTGAGAGAGAGAGAGAGAGAGTGCATGTGCACACACATGTGTGCAGGGGGAGGGGCAGAGGGAGAGGGAGAGATTCTCCACTGAGCAAGGAACTTGACCTCAGGACCCTGAGATCATGACCTGAGCTGAAACCAAGGGTCGGACGCTAAACCAACAGCCACCCAGGCCCCCCTGTTCTCTAATGTTTAGACCGATGTTCACAGCAAACATATTTAGTGTTGAGCTGATACTGTTTTCTTGTACTCCATCAAATGCTCAAAATCAGGCCAAATTTTAGTTTTGTTTTTCATTTAGACATAATAGGCTGTTGTAGTGGAAACAGCAATCTTAGGATTTAGCCGTGCTTCTCAGCTTCCTACCTGTGAGTAGTGGGATAATAGCCTAAACTGTTAACTCTTTGTCACAGATTCTATGAGATGGGATAATACTACATCCCAGGACTGCTGCAAGAACTAGACACATGTCATTTACCTGACATGGAACAACTACTCATGAAATACAGGTTCTTCAAACCCCTCCAGTGTTGTTTTTTTAGTTTTTCTAAAAAGGTAAGGTTCTGAGCAGTTTTGGGTATTTATCACACATCATGTGAACAACATATGACCACTAGATATATTCTTGAAGATGGCCAAGTAAATTACATTCTAGATTTTCAAAGTTATAGATTAGAAATTTGTGTTCATTTTCTTATATAAGCTAAAGTTTACTTTTGCTCAATAATCTAATACTCAGTACAAATTTTAATATATTTATACCATTGACTATGTCACTATGAATTTATGGCATACACAAAATTTAGTAGTGTATATTATTTCTAGAGAAATGAGGAAAATACCAAGTTATTCTTAGACATTTGAGAAGTGCTACACTGTTCACATACGAACAGCGATGCTGATTATAAATACCTTTTTTAAGAAAAGACAGCCAGACCTGTTATGACCATTCCTTTAGATGACTGAACAAATCTTACTGTGCCTTTTTTCTACATTTTTCTACATTTACGCATTCAAAAAAAGAACAAATGAAAACTTTAAGATAAACTGGCCCAATACCTAACAACCTCATTTTATTAGGGTAAGAAAACAGATCAATTTGTTAAACGAATGCCAGTTTGTTAAGAGCCATGTGCTTTCCCTCCTCTCTACTCCACAGCATTTTGTATTCTGTTTGTCCATTCATTCAGTCAATAAATATTCATTGAGCTCCTCCTCTCTGTCAGACCCTTTTGGGGAATGACTGGGAGGCAATGAATGTAGATGTCTCATTGGAGAAGTCTGGCTGGGAAGGAGAAAAGAGAGCTAGGGTTGGAGTAGCTGGAGGGGCTGCAGAGTTTTCCACTGTTGTTTAGAAAACTGGAAGGTCTATGTTCATGTTTCCTCTCCTACCAAACTGAATTCCTCTGCAGGAGGGACTGTGTACTTATATTTGCATAAATACTCTAACAGTTTACAATACAGAAACTTGCAAACAGCAGTGTTTGAATAAATGTTTGTTGCACTAAACTGAATTTTACCACTAGCACCCCCATTCCCTTCTTCCTATTCCCCTCTTTGTATCTCACATCTCTCCAAGTTCCTATAGTCCCTGAGGATGTTTTTCAGGAACCTGGGATACAATATTTAAAATCAAATGAAGGCAATTCCAACCAACACCAGAAGAGTCTGAGATATAGCAGACTGGGCAGGAACCACATCTTTTTCATCTTTGTATCTTTAGTGGCCAGCACAAGGGTTGGCACAAAATGGAAGCTCAGTAAATATTCAATAGAAGCTTGCCACCTACTGATCCTCAGAAAGCTACCGTGAAATTAGGCATCACAGAAGAACAAATCTTTTTAATCTGTGTGAGACGTTGTCTATGCCCAGATTTAGCATTTCATTTCTTCACTAAAAAGTGTTTTCTGGGGGCACCTGGATGGCTGTCAGTTGAGCGCCCGTCTTGATTTCAGCTCGGGTCATAATCTTAGGGTCCTGGGATTGAGCCCTGTTGTCAGGCTCAGCACGGAGTCTGCTTGGGATTCACTCCCTCTGCCCCTCCCCTCTGTTTGTGTGTGTGTACTCTCTCTCAAAAACACAAATAAATCTTAAACAAAGAAAAAAAAATGTGTTTCTGAACCTCTGTTACAGGCCCAGTACTGAGTGCTGGGTTATTCAATTAATTACTAATCATGTAACAGTTACTAAGCACCCAATATAATAGTA